CCACCTTATCTGTCTATCCACTTCTCCATCCATTGACCCTCCCGTCAACTCACCCTCCCATTTACCCATTGAACATCCCCCAACCATTCAACTGTTCTCACTTGAGGATATTTTTCCCTTGGTTTTTAGAGAGAGTGGGAGGGAGGGAGGGAGGGAGGGAGGGAGGAGGAGACAGAGAGAGAAACATCGATTGTGAGGGAGACACATCGATTGGTTGCCCCCTACATGCGCTCCGACTGGGGCCAGGGATTGATCCTGCAACCCAGGTACGTGCCCTTGACCGGGAATCGAGCCCTCAACCCTCCAATAGGTGGGCCGATGCTCTCATCACTAAGCCACACCGACCAGGGCTGGGACGCGTCCATTTAAGATGCTCGTTACATATCCGAGTGGAGATGGCAAGTAGACAGTGAGATGCATACATCAGGAATTTGGGAGAGGGGCTGGGTCAAGAAATACACACGCACAGGCATTTGGGGGTCAGTAGGGTGTAGTCCAGTGGTTCTCAACCTTGGCTGCACATTAGAATCACCTGGGAATCTTTTTAAAATCCTGATTTCTGCGGTGGGGCCACAACATTAGTAACAAAGAAACAGAATTTCCGGAGGATGAGGCCCAGAAATCAGGATTTTTAAAAAGATTCCCAGGCGATTCTAATGTGCAGCCAAGGTTGAGAACCACTGGTCTAGATGGTATTTAAAATGGTGAGACTTTATCACTTTGAAATTTTCCTCCCACGTTCCGATATTTCCTCTTCTGGGGCGTAAGGGATGCTCCGTCCGTTATCTTCCATCCATCCCTTAATTCCATCAGCTCTTCCGTCCACATGCCGGTCAGTCCCGTGGCCCCGTTTTCCCGCAGGTAACAGCGGTGGCCCCTCCCTTTCCACTTTCATCCTTCTCCCCCTTCTGTTTCAGGGCACCGTGGAGTGGCCGCGACCCCCCCAGCAAACGACCTTACTCCTGATCGTGTGCGGCCTCTTCCTGTTCCTGGTGTTAACGGGGATGCCCGCCGTGTTCTACATCTAAGCCCTTTCGAAGGCGGTCCCGCGTCCGGCGAACGAAGCGCCCGGATGATCTTTTGAGAGAGAGATGGAGGGAGGGAGAGAGAGAGAGAAACGTCGATGCGTTGTTCCACTTACTCCTGCATTCATCGGTGGACCCTTGTGTGAGCCCTGACTGGGAACCGAACCCCCGGCCCTGGTGTATCCAGACAAAGCTCTAACCAACTGAGCAACCCAGCCAGGGAGGCCTCCCTGTCCCCAATTTTGAGCACTTCATTCATTTACAGTTTCTTTTTACAAAACCACTTGCTATCATAGTAGATGTAATCGTACCGACGTGCTTCTAATCCCAGCCGTGGCCATGTCGTGAGGTCCAATCATTCGTGTTCTGTTCTGTAGGTTGTTGTGCTTCGAAACTCGGTGATTGGTTTTATTTACAACCAGTGTTGTGTCTGTGACTTCCCGCACAGCGGACAGAGAACGTGGCCCGTGACAATGCGTTTCCCACACCTTTCCAGAAAGCTTTCCCCGTGGCCAGAAGTGTCCGATGCTACCGCACGTTCCACGGGCATTTCAGAGGAATACGTAGCTTCTGTCCGTGGAATAGAAAACCCTGTCAGCCCAGTCTCACCAGTCGTGTTGTTCGGAGCCGGGCGCCGTGTCACTGTGGCCTGGCCCCCGGCGGCCGGAAGCCAGGGAGGTCGCGTGGAAACCTGTTGGCACAGTCCTGTTGGCCAGCTCCGTGTTCCTAGCCGTGTTTGTGTTCGTGTTCATCAGCTGTGTGCTTTGGTGCCTGCGTGTAGCATTGTGACGTCCTCGCCAAGTAGATAAAGAACACCTGGCCACACCTGTGTCCGGCGTTTAGGACGAGCTCAATAAACGGTAGTGAAAACTCGACTCGGCATCTTCGTCAAATAGAAAAAGACCGTCTTTGACCCGCTGAATCCTTGGCCTTCAGTTCTATCTTGTCTCATGACAGCCCTGTTTTGTTTTTTGTTTTTTTTTAAAGATGTTTTAATGGGGCAACCAAGTTTGGGTTCCCTCCCTGCAGCAGGTAGCTTTTCTGTGCAGTGGTTCTCAACCTTCCTAATGCCGCGACCCTTTTTAAAAAAAAATATATTTTATTGATTTTTTACAGAGAGGAAGGGAGAGGGATAGAGAAAGTCAGAAACATCAATGAGAAAGAAACATTGATCAGCTGCCTCCTGCACACTCCCCACTGGTGATGTGCCTGCAACCAAGGTACATGCCCTTGACCGGAATCGAACCCGGGACCCTTGAATCTGCAGGCCAACGCTCTATCCACTGAGCCACACCGGTCAGGGCATGCCTCGACCCCTTAATACAGTTCCTCATGTTGTGCTGACCCCAACCATAAAATTATTTTCGTTGCTACTTCATCACTGTAATGTTGCTACTGTTATGAATCGTCATGTAAATATCTGATATGCAGGATGTATTTTCATTGTTCACGACCCACAGGTTGAGAACCGCTGCAGGGAACTTGGCTTTCACTCAAAAAACAAACAAAACAAAACAAAAAAGGTTTTTAATTTTTTTTTTTGAGAGAGAGAGAGAGGAAGGGAGAGAGAGAGAGTGAAACATCCATCGGCTGCCTCCTGCTTGCACCCTCCCCCGCCCCCACTGGGGATCAAGACTGAACGCCCCAGGGGTATGGGACGATGCCCAACCAATCTGGCCACAGGGGGCAGGAATACCGTCCTGATTTTTAAAATTCCTGTGCGTGTGTGTGTGTGTGTGTGTGTGTGTGTATACGCATGCGTATTTAGAGTCTGCGTCATTTTTGAAAAAATGTGTGTTATTGATTTTTAGAGAGAGATGAAGGGGAGAGAGATAGATGGAAACATCGATGAGAGAGGAACATCATGGACCGGCTGCCTCCTGCACGCCCCCTACTGGGACTGAGCCTGCAACCCGCTGCTGGGGGTGGGTTTCTCCTGTTCTTCTTGGGTGATGGGACTCGACCTCATGTCTGTAAACTAGGGTTCCATTTCACTCATTCATCCATTCACCGGGTATTCCCAGAGCACCTACTGTGTGCTGAGGCCCAAGCTGGGCGAAGTCTGGACCAGAGGGAGGAGCCACTGTGTGGTCCATGACCCTGAAGGGATGTTAGGGCTGGCGTTGAGGAATGTTCATCTATCATTCACATACCCAACCTATTAATTTATATCTCCTGAGCACCTACTGTGTGCTGAGACCGGAGCTGGGCCATGTCTGTGGCACAGGGAGCAACCAGCTGTATTGACCCCAACCCTAAATGACTCCAGGACTGATGCTGGGATGTACAACTATTCATTTCACCAGGCACTTCTTGAGGACCTACTATGTGCTGAGGCCTGGGCTTGGCAAAGTTTGAGTCAGTGGAAAAGAACCAGAACGTGTGGTCTTTGATTCTGAGGGGATCCAGGGCTGATACTGAGGATGCTCACCTGCTATTTACTCATTTACTTGGCCTATTAATTGATACCTCCTGAGGACCTACTGTGTGCTGAGAACTGCGATGGGCGCTGTCTGGGGCATAGGGAAGAACCAGCTCTGTTGTCCCCAACCCTGAACAACCCAGGGCTGGTGGTGGGATGTGCAATTATTCATTCAGTAACCCAGCACTTCTTGGGGACCTACTGTGTGCTGAGACTTGTCCAGGAGATGCTAGAAAGAAAAAAAAAAAAAAAAGGCACTCTCCTCCCAGGCCCTCACCAAAGGGAGTAAACCTTTTATTCACTTATCGAACAAATGCCTGCTCAGTCACGAAATCAACAATTACAAGGCCCAAACCCACAGATACGTCTTCGGGTCCGCGTTGGTGGCTCACGTTTATAATTCTGAGCCCGAGCGGGGGCGGGTAAAGGGTGTCAGGGAGTCGGGCAGATGCAGGGTGCAGCCCCAGCCCCGCGACGTCCTCCGTGGGTGGCCTTGGGCAAGTCACGAGCTTCTCTGAGCCTCGGTTTCCTCACAGGCAGCAGGGGGATGACCGTGCCACGAGGCTGGAGAGGAGGCGCGCGCACTCAGCACGGTGCCTGGAGCAGGAGGCCCCGTTACCCCTCAGCTCTGACTCTGCTGGTCCACGGAGTTTTCTGCGGGGTCACTAGGGCTAACAGGCTTCTTCCCCCGGGGCGAGCGCCGGGGTCCAGTTGGGGGTGACGGCTGCGCGGTGGGGTCCCCGCGCGGGCTGCGCTGGTGGGACTCCCGGTCGCTGTGCGTCCTCTGGTGGCGGGTGAGGGCGGAGCAGAAGCTGAAGGCCCGGCCGCAGCCGCTGCACTCGTAGGGCCGCTCGCCCGTGTGCACGAGGTGGTGCTGGATCAGGGAGCCGCGGTGGCGGAAGGCCTTGCCGCACTCGGGGCACGAGTAGGGCCGCTCCCGGGTGTGCGTGCGCCGGTGCAGCGAGAGCGCCGAGCCCTGGCGGAAGGCCTGGCCGCAGTCCCCGCAGCGGAAGGGCCTCTCGCCCGCGTGGATCTTCTGATGCTCCTGGAGCGAGGACACGCGGCCGAAGGACGCCCCGCATTTCGGGCACTTGAAGGGCCGCGTGCCCGTGTGCCGCAGGCGGTGCTGCGCTAGGTGCGCGCGGTGGCTGAAGGCGCGGCTGCAGGCCCCGCAGGCGAAGGGCCGCTCGCCCGTGTGCACGCGCCGGTGCTGGCTCAGGTGCGCCCCCTGCGCGAAGGTCTTGCCGCACTGCGCGCAGGCGAACGGCCGCTCCCCGGTGTGGGTGCGCAGGTGCTGGGCTAGCGATGCGCTCTGGCCGAAGGACGCGCCGCACTCGGCGCACCGGTAGGGACGCTCGCCCGTGTGCACGCGCCGGTGCTGGGCCAGGTGCACCCGCTGCGCGAAGGTCCGGCCGCACTGGCCGCAGGCGAAGGGCCGCTCGGCCGTGTGCGTGCGGCGGTGGCGCAGCAGCGCCGAGAGGAAGCGGAAGGCCTTCGGGCACAGCGCGCAGGCGAACGGCTTCTGGTCGCTGTGCACGCGCTGGTGCTCCCGCAGGGCCGCGTGGCCGCGGAAGGCCTTGGAGCACTGGCCGCAGGCGAAGGGCCGCTCGCCGGTGTGCATGCGCCGGTGCTGGGCCAGGCGCGCGGGCCGCGTGAAGGTCTTGTCGCAGTCGGGGCAGGGGTGCGGCCGCTCGCCCGCGTGGGTGCGCCGGTGCGCCGCCAGGTAGGAGCCCTGGCTGAAGGTCCGGCCGCACTGGGCGCAGGTGTGCGGCCGCTCGCCCGTGTGCACGCGCAGGTGCAAGGTCAGGTGCACGCGCTGGCGGAAGGCCCGGCCGCACTGCGGGCACGCGAACGGCTTCTCCCCGGTGTGCGTCCGGCGGTGCAGGGTGAGCGCCGAGCAGTAGTGGAAGGCCTTGCCGCAGTCCTCACACTTCCACGGCTTCTCCTTTGGGCGCTTTCGCTTTCCCTGTGCCGCGCGCCTGCGGGGCCGGCGGGGGGCCTGGGTGACCAGCGGGCTTGGTCTGGCTCCTGGGACCCCATCCCGGTCGTCCGCACGGTCCCCGGCGGGGTCTTCTTCACGGGCCTCTGGCTGCAAACCGCGCTCCTGGTCTTCCTTCCGGTCCTTGACGTGACCCTCGTGCACCCGGGCTTCTCCCAGCTCAGGGCGGCAGGAGGCGGCCGTGGCCTGGAGGCCGTCCATCCCTGCTCCCCTGCTGCTGCCTTGATTTCACTTCTCAGAACCAGATCTGGATAAAATAAACCAAAATTAAAAATCAGCCCTAACCGGTTTGGCTCGGTAGATAGAGCGTCAGCCTGCGGACTGAAGGGTCCCAGGTTGATTCCGGTCAAAAGCATGTACCTTGGTTGCGGGCACATCCCCAGTAGGGAGTGTGCAGGAGGCAGCTGATGGCTGTGTCTCTCTCATCGATGTTTATAACTCTCTATCCCTCTCCCTTCCTCTCCGTAAAAAATCAATAAAATAAAATTTTTTAAAAATCAAAGAGGTTTGCTATTTGTTCTGCACTGCGAAGGGCCCGCACTGGGTCTCAACCTCTGTACTGATGACAGTTTGGGTCAAGTCACAAACAGGCAATGAAAGGGAGACAGACATGCTCAGAGGCAGACAGACACACATCACGTCCCACAGACACGCACGGAGTTACACACAATCACACCTCGGGGGGCAGTTATGGCACCAACTCAGCCTTAGCACGCCCTTACACGGGCCTCCCTAAGCTGTGGTACGGTCCTCCCCACGCACGGGAGGCGGGGTCTCGCGCACCTGCAGGGCTCCGAGCGCCCTGCAGTCACCTTTGCACATGCACACACAGCTACACACACACACACACAGACGCACGCGCGCGCGCGGTGACGCACTCCGGCCTCCTCACGCGGAGTCACGCGCAGAAGGCACAGGCACACCCAGGGGGCCCGGCTCCAGGCTGGCGGGCACACTGCACACCGACACACCCGTGGAACCACGCCCCTGTCGCCCAGGAGAACAGCTGCACACGTGCCCAAAGTCACAACGGACAGAGGTCCCCAAGTGCATGGACACACGCTCGTTGATGCACACGCCACGGGGATCAGGCGTGTGCAAACGCAAAGTGACACGTGGGCACAGGCTCACACGCCCAGGCGGAGTGACAGGGACAGGTTACACACTTGCACGTGCAAACACACGGGGTCACATGCACACGCCGCTGGAGTCACGGACGTGAAGACACACACACGGGCACGGGCACGCGCAACATCCACCTGTGCGTGCGCACATCACGCGCCCCGGCGCCCTCGCACCCCGGGACCCGCTCCGAAGGCCCTGGAGCGGCTGCGCCGGAGCCTGGTGGGTTCGGATCAGGTCCCCTCGGTCTCCGGCCCTGCCA